CATGCACATTCCCCCCATCATTCAGGCAGCTTGATGTAATGATCTCTTACTTTTATGCATGGGCAGACTCTCCCCCTCTGTTCTCCCCCCCCCCTCCCTTCACCTGCCTCCCTCCCTCCCTCTACCTGCCTCTCCGTCTCCCTCTTTCTCTCTCCCATCTGTCTCTCTCTTCCAGCTCCATCTCAAAGCCAGGCTTTAATTTTGATCAGCGATGAAATGATTGCGCTCCTATTTCGATTTTTCTTTCCTCCCCCTCCCACCCCACAGCAGTTGTCATAGAAACAGAGACATGTGTGTGCGCTTGTGTTAGTGTGTGTGTGTGTGTGTGTGTGTGTGTGTGTGTGTGTGTGTGTGTGTGTGTGTGTGTGTGTGTGTGTGTGTGTGTGTGTGTGTGTGTGTGTGTGTGTGTGTGTGTGTGTGTGTGTGTGTGTGTGTGTGTGTGTGTGTAATTGTGAGCGTCTGTGTTCCAGTCGATCCCCTCAGCAGAGATTTATCACACAGACTCAGTCAGGAGGGTGTGTGTGAGAATGAATGTGTGTGAGACTAAATGTGTGTGTGTTTGCAGTGTGTGTGTGTGTGTGTGTGTGTGTGAGAATTAATGTGTGTGAGAATGAATGTGTGTGAGACAAAATGTGTGTGTGAGAATGTGTGTGTGTTAGCAGTGTGTGTGTGTGTGTGCGTTTGTCTGTCTACCTTTGTAGCTCCTTCCTCACACACTTACGTTATATCTTTTTTTTATTTACACACACACACAAAAGTATTTGAGCGTGTGTGTGTGTTTTCCCAGTTTTATGTTTTTATCTGTGAGCGCCTAACAGTGTGTGTAATAGCTCCCCTGTCCCCTCATCAAACCCCCATCACACACACACACACACACACACACACACACACACACACACACACACACACACACACACACACACACACACACACACACACACACACACACACCCTGGCTGTATGACTTGAGATTGAGTGTGTTTGGTGGCTTAGACCAGCCACAACTCTAATCCTCCGCACTCATACAAACACAAACACACACCCGCACACGTACAAAAAGTCCAGGTCTCTCTCGGCTATTAGCCTGAGCCGAGGGAGTGTGTGTGTGTGTGTGTGTGTGTGTGTGTGCGTGTGTGTGTGTGCGTGTGTGTGTGTGTGTGTGTGCGCGTGTCCGTGTGTGTGTGTCCGTGTGTGTGCGTACTTGGAGGGGATTGCTCAGAGACACCAGTGAGGGAAAGAGCAAAACTAACCCAATTTCCTGCTCCATTTCCTTTTTCACGCGGCGGGTGCGTCCCATTCCACGGCGAGCCGGGTTGAACACCAGCAAACCTTCAGCCTGGGGTCACGCCTTTTACCTCAGAGTCACACAGAGGGGGAGGGGAGGGGGGGGGGGGCACTGTATATAAACCATGTGCTTCAGACTAAAATTACACATTAAAACTGATATTCTTCAGTGAAATTAAAGTTCACTGAAAGTTTCAACTGGAGTCAGATATCAACTTTACTGGTTGATGCTTGTTTGAAATATTGAGGTGAACTATATGTCTTCATCTTTATAATGAACTAACCTCTTTAAAATCATAACCCATTTATTCCCTGATATTATAAAGCACAAGTTATTGTCCCACAGTGTAGGGATAGATATCGAGGACATGACGTTATGAATAATTGGCAGAATCATCTCAGCAAACAGGCATGAGGCATATCAAACATTTTGATGGATTCAAAGTCTAAAAGATTTAAAGTAGGAAGAACAAACAATTGGTCATCTCTACATCTCAATGCTATACTGATGTAAATCCACATCAGTTCTTATATGGGGGTTCAGTTATCACCTCTTAAGATAACAAACACCATCGATTTTACACAGTCTCCCATTGCCCTCAGATTACATGAGAAAGTCCTCTTTTCATACTTAAGACTAGTCAACTAGTTTAAAAGTGAGAAAACTATTTATCTTATTCAGTCATTGTCGTGATCAGCTGTGTTATCTTTTCAGACCATATAGGATCACAGCGTCTGCGTGGAAACAATTCCAAATTACTTAGTGTGGCTAATGCAGTGCAAGCGCCATTACATTTGGTCATCATTTCAGGACAACATCCACATGCCTCTGCTAAATGTCATACACATTGTTTTATTTTTTTATTTGTTTTATTTATTTATTCATTTTTATTCATTGCTCCGGTCTAGCGGTTGTATGTCAGTTTAACCGGACACAGCCAACTTTTCTCCAATTTCTAGATGAGAAAAACTGACACACTGCGCATGCTCCAAGATGCCATCCGTCCACTGTACGGGTGCACGCTCAGGCAGTCGAGCGAGGAGAGCAGGCCAACTAGACAGAGCTGCAGCCCTGCCTAGTGGCAAGTGGCTGCATTACAGCTTAGACACATCATTTAACCAGCCTTGTGGTGTTTTTCTTTGAGGGTGATTCTGCACATGTTACCGTTGATGATTGAGAGACACTTCCAATTGGACATAAGCCCCACACCTGGGCATACGCAGTGGGTGGAGCTTTGCCTACTTGAGATCACTTTATTGGACTGCAGGAGCAGTGTGCAAGATTTTCTCTTGGCAAGCCATACTGTAGTTTAACCTCCAACAGACCTGCTTCATGAGATGGTATACATACAGGCATACATTAATAAAATCTTAATAATAGTTTTACAAACTTGACTTTAATTCATTTATATGACTTATCATGCTCATATTTGATCTATCCAGTCAGTCTTTGTTGGAGCTTTGGACTGTAGCCATTTTTGTGTTATTGCTTTTTTGTTGGCTGTTTTTAATATCTTCTCTAGGTATTTACCCTGCACCAAAATCTGAGCTGCACTTTTTGCCAAACTAAATTCTTAAGAAAGAAAACTCAATCCTGACCCCATAAATGTTTTGTATTGCCCATATTACCTTGTTCCTGTCAGTATGGCCGAATAATTTCTGGGCAGAGTCCGCACTTCACATCCGAGATCACAGCAGCAACTCGGAAAGCGAGAAGGTAACGCAGCAACTGACACTCTGACAGTGTCTCCAAGGAATGGTAAACATTTAAGCCCTGAAGCTAACCTTAGCCAACATCCCACTAACGACAGGAAAATAAAAATACAATTTCACCTTTAGTTCTGTTGCAGAAAAGACAAAGTGTGTTGAGTACTTTTCACAAAGTATTTTCTCACTCGGGTGTGTTCAGCCTTCTGACTTTATATTTCTCACTGCAGAGCATTACCACAGCAGCTTCAGTGTTCTGTTTGTCATGTATGAGTTTCTTAACAGTAATATTGTGAGCGAGTGATTCACTGTTTTTGTTGTAAGGGAGAAGAGACAGAGGACTTTTATACTCCTGTAGTCTGAACCCGGCCGTATCTCCTTATCACCATTGTCCTCAGAATATATCGCTCTGCATAGCTCCTGAACCTCACAGTAGCATTTAAAGGGATAAGAGTTCAGTCGACTGTCACCCTTAAAAACAGGGATTGTTAGGTCTGTATGTCTTTTTTTCATATTTTTTCTGACCGGGTTTAAAGTTTCTGCATATATCTGCTAATAACTGGAACTGTGTGTTTTGATATTCTCTTGTTTGCACACAATTAGTCATCTACAGCATGTACGTATGCTAGACGACTAATATGTAGATCAGTGGAAGCTCAACTTGTTATTTTCCTTCAAGCTGTGACTTCATGGTCCAGTGTCAGTGCCGGCACGTTCAAATACACACACAGAGTCACACACAGTCCCTGAGTTGTCTTGACCTAATTGAAGCCCAGCGGTCTGCCCCAGGTCATTCTTTTATTCCTCCCCTATTTTAATGAGATTTTTAATTAGCATGTTAATTGCCTAACGTGATCAGCGGGGTGACGATCTAGCCGGGCTAGCTGCGGTTGGCTTCCAGCTGGGCCAGAACACTGAAGCTTTCCACTCCGCTGAACAAAGCTGTGCCAAGCCGAGCAGTGCTAGACTAGCCCCGGAGAAGAAACAATGCTGAAGAAAAACAAGTGCTGATTTTATACTAAGTCTCGTGTTGCATTTATGGGGGGAACAAAGCGGTAGATCCAATTAATTACGGGTTTATTCAAATGGGCTCCCATTCTTTGACCCCCAGTTGATTTTCCTGCTTTCTTCTTTCATACAGAAAACAACATCAGGAGGCTTCAAAGACACCATGATACAAAACATATGCAGAACTATAGCAACACCATACCTGTACACATGGAAACATGATTACCAACTGTATGCTTAAGAGTTGCTTTAATACAAAGACTAAGAAAACATTGTAACATGTAAAGGAATCATATGATGGCAAATTCAGCAGCTTTCAACGCAGAAATTGTGCCCTCGAAAAAAAAGACGATACATATTCGTTTCTCCTCCTCCATTGTTGTGTTGACAAAGTTTTTATCAGAAGCCCCGCCCCTTCTTGATTGGTCAATGAAGGAGAAGTGATATAGACAAGTTCTACATGGTGATGAATAAACAGCTCAGGCAAAGTGTTTATACGCTCAGCACGCAGAGCCATGAAAATACTGAAAACACTGAACTGTATTGGTTTTGTATTAAAAATGGGTGCGGCCATTGAGAAAAAAATGGGGCCGCCAACAAAAACGTAACTTTAACACGCCTCAAATTGGTAGAGACGGTGAGTGCGGATATTGGATTGGGCATCCTTTACAAACAGGTACTTTATTGAGGGGTTGTCTAATCTTTAGCCAATAAAAAACATCACAATGGTATTTTTTTTACTTTTTAAGTGAACACAAGCTCTAACATAAGCTGAGGCGAGGAGAATATGAAGGGAGTAAAAGGATGTGTAGGTGGCTGGAAAGATGGAAAGCGACACAATGCACAGAGCGTCTCTCTTCTCCCGTCATTTGTTAACTTCGCTGTGGCAGATACTCAAGGCTGTGCTGTTATGAGGATTGCCTTTATAATTTACCACCACCGGTGTCGGCTTCTTTATTGAGCCTGGCCTTCGCTGACAGACAAAGACACAGAGGAGGCTTTGATTTAGCCTGGGAATGTTTGCGAGCTTGTGTGGACTCTGTGAATCACTCTCTCTGTCTCATATCTGCTTTTGTTGTTCTGTCATATCCCTCTCTCTCTCTCTCTCTCTCTCTCTCCTATTCCGCGCTCTTATCATTTCTCTCCATTCTGCTGCTCCTCTCATTCATATCCCTCCATCCTATTTCTGTTCTCTCTGCCTCTCCTCTCGTTTGCCTTTCCCTCAACGCCTCCTGCCGTCCTCCTTATCGCCCCTCTCTCTCTCTTTCTGTCTCCTCTCCAGTCAGATCTACAGTATTGAGAACGCCCATGGCCAGCTGGTGCGTGACCTAGACTTCAACCCCAACCGACAGTACTACCTGGCCAGCTGTGGAGACGACTGCAAGGTCAAGTTCTGGGATGTCCGCAACGTCCAGGAGCCCGTCAAGACCCTGGAGGAGCACTCGCACTGGTGGGTTGATCAGAGGGAAGACTTTAGAGCGGTTAAGATAGGTGGGGCGGCTTGTGGAGCGGGTCCAGCCCTTGAACCCACAGGGACCTGTATTTAAGATGCAGTGTTGGCAAATCCCTGCCATGCACGTGTCCCTACACGGCTCTAAAACGACTGGCTACAAAAGTTAAGTGAAAATACTCCCATGACAGGCGCTGACATATTGTGCTAGCTGCAGTGGCGATTCTAGGGTTTGTTGGAGCCCTAAGCAAAAGTTATGTCAGGGGCCCTCCAACCAGCACTCAGCAGGGCAATAAGAGTGGATGCGGTCATATGGGGCCCCCTTAGGGAGGTTTCCTACTGTCATTGCAAAATTTTCACATTTTGGGTTGCTGCTTTGGTCCTTACTGGTCTGGGGCCCCAAGCAGTTCCCTGCCTTGCCTGTTGACAAGCAGCGCCCCTGGCTAGTGGCGTCATCTTGGAGCCGCTGAATTCTCTTCTCCGTGAACTTGTGCCGAGGGTATAACATTTTATCTTTAATTTTATTACTTGATTGGAATTGACAAGAAATATAACCAACAACAAAAAAAAAAAAGGAAAAAGTAATTTATCATCTCATTAAATTTTACAACTTGAATGTGTGAGAGGTATTTCCTGCGTCTAATATAATCACACTGTATTTGCCTGATGGGAACGAAACCTCTAATTCAGCATGAGAGTGTGATTGAGGCACATTCAGGAAAACTCACCAACAATAATGATAAACACCATGATAACTCCTTTGCTGCACTGCTGATTGGTTTCTGCTTTTTATTAATGGCTTTATCTTCTAACTAATGAAATGCCCTAACTACTGCTGGTGCAATAAACTGCAGGTATACTCTAATTACTAATTAAAAAACACAGCTACTCCTTTTGTCAGTAAGGGTTCAATCACTGTGGGTAGTTTGCATCCAAGTCCTGCTCTGGGTTGTCTTCTGCGAGAGCTTCAGGCGATGCTGAGAGCTGAACACAGTGTACTGCTGGAGAGTGTGTGTGTGTGTGTGTGTGTGTGTGTGTGTGTGTGTGTGTGTGTGTGTGTGTGTGTGTGTGTGTGTGTGTGTGTGTGTGTGTGTGTGTGTGTGTGTGTGTGTGTGTGTGTGTGTGTGTGTGTGTGTGTGTGTGTGTGTGTGTGTGTGTGTGTGTGTGTGAGACACTCTCCTGTGTGAGCTGAATAGATGATCAGTGTGTCTGCAAGCCAAACTAGGCTATAACTGCTGCAGCAAACCTCATCTGATAAAGGCATGCACATACACATTATATGCATGCACATATGCCTTTGTGCATGTAACCACACAGACACACACACACACACACACACACACACACAGACAAACACACACATACAGTTGAGCGTGTGTTATCTCCAAAAGAAAGATAGGCTTGGCAAACATATCCATAACTGGAGATTGCTGCAGATGGGATCTTTTCAGATGGGTGATAAGTGTGTGTGTGTGTGTGTGTGTGTGTGTGTGTGTGTGTGTGTGTGTGTGTGTGTGTGTGTGTGTGTGTGTGTGTGTGTGTGTGTGTGTGTGTGTGTGTGTGTGTGTGTGTGTGTGTGTGGAGGAATGTGCATAGGTTCTTTTTTTATCTCTGTGAGGCTACAGAAATGTGTGTTTTCAAGCATTTCTATAATGCATAGGCATATGTCTGTGTGTATTTGTCCTTTATCTTTATTGTGACGCATATTATGTGTGGGTGTTTCCCAAAGTGTGTGTGTCTGTGCTTTGTTGTGTGCACTCGTTTTTCAGAGCGCAGCCAGGATATGGCCTCGGGGCTGCTGGGGGTATTAGGGACTATTTTTTAGAAGGGAAGCGGATTAGGGGGAGCGCGGGGAACAGCGTGGCCGAGGCTGATTTCCTGTCAACAGCCTCGGTTATCCCTCAATCCCTCCCTGTGAGAGAACCGGGACCGCACTCTGAGCTGTGCCCCGGGCTCACAGAGAAAGAAAGAGAGAGAGAGACATAGAGGAAGAGGATGAAAAGGAGGAAGAGAGGAAGACGAGTGTTGACGAGTAGAAAAAGACAGAGAGGGAGAGAAATGGCGGGAAGAAGGAATGATGAGGAAGAATTGAAGTGAAACTGAGCACTTTATAAAACCCGGATCATAATGTGTTTGGCAATTATCACCAACTCAATTAAAATTGAGCCAAATATAGACTAGGAGGTACAAAATCCACATTTTTGGCATCAGAACAAACACACTGATAGGAATATTTAGCTGTGAATCACACTGTGACAACGCTGCATTTTTCTGCATGACTTGCAAGTGTGTGGACAGAAGATAAAGAATGAGAATATCTCTGCAGGACTGTGTATGTTGTAACATATGGTCAGGCTGCACATATAGTCTCCATACATATGAGCGTGCATCATATAGTAATGTCCGTACATTTACTGCTTGTGTTTTGCCACCAATGTAACTTTTTTAGGGCACGTTGGAAGTTAGATGAAGACTGCAGAGGAGGGCAAAAATATCTGATGATTATTTTTGTATGCTCTGTTTCTTTTCAAGGTTGGGTTTTCCCCCTAAGTGTTAATCATTCTCAAGGTTATCAATCACAAAAATCTCCTCCACATCTTTTTGATTTCTTCTTCTTCTTATAATGAACAGCAGCTTCAGGTTCAATTCTCCATCACTCTTTGGCAGACAGCATGCATAGGGTTGCAGCTGACATAAGCTTAGCTTGATTTTAGGTCCTTCATTGTTTATTGTTCTCGGATGATTAAATGGGAGGTATCGACAGAAGTCTCCTCTTCTGCAAAACAACAACGACCTCGATATAAAACCCTGAATAAAGACATTTCTCGTTCAGTATCTGAGTCTCTCCAAAGCTCTAAGGCAGACTCTCCGAGCTGCCACCAACACCTGTATAGTTGTTGTTATGTTAACAGATAGTTTCACCATCTTTGGAGGATATGAACATTTAACTGTTGCTTTCCTGCTGCTTGGTTCCATAAATTATTTATTTGATCACAGAAAACAGCTGAAATAATGTTCTCCTGTGTGTGTTTCTTTTTTTTAAGTCAAACACAAAACTAGATGAAATAGCTGTTGCTGTCCCTGCTGTGTTTGATCCATCTAAAGTAAGAGCGAAAATGTCTGAATTTAATCATCAGCATACATTTTATTGTGATGCCCCTTTAAGATTTTATCCATCATTCAGTCTGCTCACTCTTTGAGTACTGAATGAACCTGACTTCACGTCCTCTTTATTTCTCCTCTGTTACTTAACACGCCTCTCTGGGATTGTGTGTTTCTTCGTCTTTTCTCGTCCCAGGGTGTGGAGCGTCCGCTACAACCACAGCCATGACCAGCTGGTGTTGACAGCCAGCAGCGACAGCCGCCTCATCCTCTCCAATATGGTGTCCATCTCCTCCGAGCCGTTCGGACACTTGGTGGATGATGAGGAGCTCAGCGAGGGGGAGGACAACCGTCAGGACGACAAGTAAGAGCAACATAGAACTGAAAATACTTCTGGTTATAAAAACAATAAAAAGTAATTCCTCATTTCTTTGCGGACACCAGAAAAATCCCTCAGGTAAAGGAGTGGTCCTTAGTCTTGGTACTGTAAAGCCACTACATCAAGAGGAAGAGTTTTCTGTTTGTATGCATGTGTTCAGGTGGTGAAATAGTCATGACATGACAAATTCAACCATTGATACCTCATACCTTGTCGCACTGGTAGCAAGTTCGACTCCCAATCCTGACGCTGTTTGCTGCATGTCGTCCTCCTCTCTCTCTCTCTCTCTCCCCACATTTCCTGTCTCTCTTCAGCTGTCCAAATCACAGTCCTGTGTTAAAGCAAAGAGAAGCCTAATAAAACAAACCATGAAATGCTTTACCACGATGTGCTTCCTGTTTGAAGTCATCTGAAGATAAAAAACTCTCTCACATTGTTTTGACACCCAGAATAATCAAGTGGGAAATATAAAACATGAAGAATATTACAGTCAAAACACTTCAGGTGTTTTCTCTCCGGAGCGTAAGGATTTGATTTCTTAGAACTGAAGAGATGTCATCTGTAATCGTAACCATTCAGTCATTTTCAAATCCACTCTTTCTACGTCCATTATGGTCCCATTCCCCCCTCTCAACCATAACTACCAGCACTTACGCTCAATGACCGACTCTCATCCACAATTATCAACTCTTCTTCCTAATCACCAGCTCTCAGCGTTAGTTTTAACCCTTACACTGCACTGATTGACCCCTCTCGTGTGCTCAGTGCGTGTCCTCTCCACAGAACCTGGACGCCGTACACAAACCTCCTCCGGGTGGTTGAGCTATTTGCTGAATTCATACGGTTATTTTTGAACAGTTCATTGAAATATTTTAGATGATTGGGTACCTGGAAGGGCTACTATTTACAAAGCAACTGAATCTCATTTGATTGTACTTCCCACTCTACTTCCTGGAAGTATCTTCAAGAAAAAAAGAAAACAAGGAGCAGCAACCGAAGCAGCTTTTGGACACACCTGTCCTCGAGTGTGTGCAGTGGTTTTTGCCTCTCTGGAATCCCCTTCAAGTTAATTATCCACCTGGCTTGCTGCTGCGGTGCTTGGCAGGCTTTACATATTGGTGACTGATGGTCATTAGCCAAGAATTTCGACAATATTCAAAAATATTTGCTATGATGGAACAGTTCAGACGAAAATGAAGATTACTTTAAGACAGCTGGTTCTCCGTTTTACCACCATCCTACTCCAAACAGTGAAGGGTTCAGCTCCAGGAAAACTCTCATGATCTTATTTCTGACATTGGAACGTCGTCTGTGATAGACAACTGTGTTACAACATGGTTTTGTAGGGGCACCATTTCGGTTGCTGCATTGGTAGCTATGACTCATTACAAGCCATTCAGGCCTCATTTATGCTTCTAACATCTTGATATAATATGTGCATCTGGACTTGTAAGGTGAATGTGGCTTTTAATAATAGTAATGACTATAGTTTATTTCACTTTCATGCTGCTAAAACTACCTTCACTAACAGTGGATTATTATACTTCCTGTAGCAGGGTTTCTGTTCAATATAATGTCTGCTAAAAATACTGCAGTCCTCGTGGCTAAGTGAAGCGACGGCCATCATTTAGAAGCATTGGTTAGGTGTTCTCAGTAGACCCTCTTACTCATATCTCGGCCAATGAATCAATACCAGCAGAGCTGCTGTTTAATTTGAGTGTGCAGCTCCGAGGGAGCAGCTTCCGTCTGTGGGAAACAGTTCATGTAAAATAAATCCAGATATGTATGTCACTGTTTCCCCTTAGGTCTGATTACAGCGGTGGGTTTAGAGAAAAATAGAACCAGGGAGGGCAATAAAGCTCCATCATGTTTCAGAAGTTTTATTTATTTCCACGTTGATTTATCAGTAGGAGAAAGCATGTTTCTGATCGTGTGCATGAGAAATTACCAAGGATGGTGTGTGCTACCTGTCCACCGTGCTAAAGAGATAAACCAATACATTCAAATTCTATGTTCAAGAGTGTATATGATAACTCACTCCACAAAATCTCTTCATCTAAATTTGCTGTTATCGGTACCATGAGGAGATGTTGACCTCTGGTAACACTATGGAGCAGTGAGATTCTTGTTGGTTTATAACCTGCCTGCACAAGATGAAACACTACAGCACTGACGCAAACACAAAGGTGATGTAATGCACAAATTCTTGACTTGATTGTCTTCAAACAGAAGTAAACTCTCAAGAGACATCAAAGCTCCAAAACACAAAAATCTACTGAAAAGTTACCACGTTATTTCTCTAACTAGGCTCGACGATTGTCTCTACAAAAGTGTGTTTTCACACAAAGGAAATGACGACATGTTTTCTGCTCGAACTGAACTGACATGATGGGTTAGGTTGCTCAACACTGTCGTGAAACATGTCAGCATGCAGATTTTCCTCATGTCCGGTTTGCATCAGGAATGTTGATCAGAACTCCATTCACAAAACGAGAAAGTTATTTTCAAATCTTCTTAGAACAGACTTGACTTACTTTTTACAACTCTGTGTCATGATGTAATTGTTACGGCAACATTTTGAACCATAATCAGAAGAACATCTTTACTGTATATTCCAGGTTTACACTACTCTGTGAATCCATTGTGAACAGTGGCTGGAGTCCTCGTCGCAGCAGTTTTAGGTTCAAATTCAGCCTCCACCCTTTGCTGCATGTCATCCCCCACTCTCTCATCTCAAAGTTTCCTGTCTCTCCTCAACTGTCCTATCCGATAAGGCAAAATACAACTTTAAAAAAATCAGACAAAAGCAATTTCTTTTACAGATTCAAGTACGGCTGTTCAGACTCATTTTTACACTGTGTATAAAATAAATAATGACGTTCCATCCACTTGATGCAGGTTGTGTGATGATGTGTTTTCTTTATTTTACATTGGCTGTGTGTTAAACCCAAAGAAGAAGACACTGTTGCAATAAACTTGAGTATTTCACATTAACCCATGTAGTCTCTCCAAATCCTCTGTGTTGGATTTGATGCATTCCTCTTCCTGTTAGCATAAACTCTTTGTGTTTTGTGTGTCTTAGGAGTAAGGAGCCTCTAAAGGACAGTGTGGTGTCCACCTATGAGGAACATGAGGACAGTGTGTACGCAGCAGAATGGTCGTCTGCCGACCCCTGGCTCTTCGCGTCACTCAGCTACGACGGGCGTCTCGTCATCAACAGAGTCCCCCGAGCCCTCAAATACCGCATCCTGCTCTGAGAGCGTGGGGAGGGACCAGTGATCGGAGTGTGTGTTTATGTGTGTGTGTGTGTGTGTGTGTGTGTGTGTGTGGATGATAAGAGTGTGAATGAAGACGTAACACAACTATACACATTTAGAGCTGCTTAAAGACATTCCATATTCAGCGAGTGTGTTGTGCAAACTGCATGTGAAGGCAGCCTGTGTGTGATGTACATATACTGTAGTTCATACAGTTTGTTCCACTCATCACTGTAAACAAAAAAACAGCTGAATATTTCAAATAAAGTACTAAAACCTCCTGGATAAACATTGA